GCCAAATTTATGACACTGCCCGAATTATACAATATATCCCGCGCATCACGCGCGGTGTCTATCACTATATATAACGTACTGTTCGTAAATAGATTTATTGATGTGACTAAAGTATTTAGTTAGATTTGTTCACTTACATGTTTTACAAAAAAAAATTATATTTTTTGAATATTTTTTATTTTAAAAAAATTTGATATAATATAAGAACATATTGTTCTATGTTAAATTTTAAGTTATACACTCTGTATATATCAGTAAACATACATAATAAGATACTTATCGTAATACTGTAATAAAGGATAAAATAACATTCAGTATATTAATAAAATAAAATAAAAAAGAAATACAATATTTAAATTTTAATTACATACATGAAATTTATAATTCACACTTTGCAATGTCCTTAGCAGTGTCGATACGGGATTTCGCATCTGCTTTGGTGTCACAAGTAACGAAGGTACCACGGTTGCTTTTAAGTGGAAGAGAGAAACAATGTGTTCCAGGAGCACAGCTTGTGATAACAAATTTACGATTGGCACAATTTGCAATTTTTCCTTTTATACATGCAACATCATTATCTGTACATTTGGTATTTTTGTCAAATGATTTAAACTCTTCATTTTCATCCTCGGCTTTTTGACCATTTTTTCTTCTCATTTCACATACATTAAGATTTCTCTTATGATTTTTATGTTTCTTATGTCGATGTCGACGGGGTACTGCTGATGCATAAGAAGCTAAGATGGTAATGAGAATGAAAATTATGAAAAGGTACGTAAAACGCTTCATTTTTGACAAAACTTGAGAGAAGATTGAGAAAAATTATGAGAAAAATTTGACTCAAACGAAGAATATTAGATAAACAGAGTTGGCCTTTATATAGTTTATGAAAAAAAATGATGTGATAACTTTATACATACGAACTTCCATATTAGTCTTTTATTTTCTCATTTTCTCTAAATAGATTTGATTTTGTCCTTTCTAATAGGGGGTTTCAAAGTTAACAAATAAGTGGCGCATTCTGAAATTAAATGAGGGTTTAAAAAATCTTATTTGTCTTTCAAGATTCTAAAATCGGAAAATGAAATGCGAAAATTTTTATAGTACTTCGTAAAAAAACAAATAAAAAGTAAAACTTTCGTTCAATTTGAAATTAAGATCAGATTGCTGGATCACTTATTCCAAAATAAATACGTCATCGATTTCAATTAAAATTTGATTTCCGCATTTTAACTTTGAAACCCCCTAATAAAGCGTAAATACAAATAATCATGTAAGTATACATTATCCGGCATTTTATGATCATGATTAGTAGGGAGTCGTTTGCTGAGTTTAAATTTAATACTAGAATAAACATATGCCGGATAAAATACTATATAATAAATATGT